AGCTCCACGTGCGAGTAAAGGGGGAGGCGATGGGTGACAACAGACACATAAGTCACGTTATTGCTTGGATTTTCACCTTAAGTCCCTGAACGTCACATTTTAACGGAAAAAAAAAAAAAAAACGCAATGCGACTTGGATGGACTACAGGACTTGCTATGAAGCCCTGGAGGTTAGCCCGCAGACCAAAAGGACTCAGTATGAACCCTAGAGGTTAGAGGTTAGAGAGAATAACAGGACTCGCTATGAACCCTAGAGGTCAGCCCGGAGACTAACAAGACTCGCTACCAAGCCACAAAAGCAGGCCGGGAGACCAACAGGACTCGCTACGAAGTTCTGGAGGTAGGACAGTAGACAGACATGACTCTATATGAAGCCCTAGAGGTCAGCCCGGAGACCAACAGGACTTGCTACAAAGCCACGGAGGTTGGATAGGACTCGCTTTGAACCCCTGGAGGTTCACTTCTTTATTTACAAGTACCATCTTTCAACCCAATACCTTAGAGTGCCTGTTTGATATATTTTCAGAAGTATATTGCAGATGCCTCCGATCACACGTCTGAATGGATGTGGCTTCTTCTGTGGCTGGTCTGAAACCGAATGGCTGTCTTTGTTGGTTTCCTCATCAGATGGCTGCTGGTTTTGCTGTTCCACTAATTCCCTCAGCCTTTTGTTCAACTGTTCCACGTCAAGCTCCAAGTTGGTGTTTTCCTCCTCCAAGAGGTAGTTCACCTGCTCGGAGACAGAGTTTTCCTGCTGCAGGGCAGTGTTTTTCTCCTCCAGTGCGGCGTTTTCCTCCTTCAGCGTGCTGTTTTCTTTCTCCAAGAGAGTGGTTTTCTTATACAGAACCTTCCTTTCCTGCCTCAGGTTGGAGACTTTCTCCGCATAAACTTTGTTTTCCCCCTCCAAGATGAAGTTTTCCTGCTGCAGGTGTTGTTTTTCACCTCCAGGGCGGTGTTTTTCGTTTCCAGATCCTTGCTTCCCTGCCTCAGGTCGGAGTTTTCCTTGACATTAACTGTGTTTTCACTCTCCAAGAGGTAGTTTACCTGCTCGAAGACAGAGTTTTCCTCCTCCAGGGCGGTGTTTTTCTCTTCGAGAGTGTTGGTTTTCAGCATCACGTTGATGTTCTCCTGCTCCAGAGCCCTGAATTTCTGCTTCAGGGCGGCGATTTCCTTGTCATAGTCAGTGTTTTTCTTCTGCATGACAGTGTTTATCTTCTCCAGTGTGGCATTATCCTCTTCTAAAGTTATGTTTATGTCAACCAGCTTTTTAAATTCTTCATCTTTCTCCTGAACAAGCTTGTCTTTTTCAAATGCTGCTTGTTCTAAGTTTATGACTTCAATTTTTAACTCCTCGTTTGCTTTCTTCAGTGAATGACTCTCAAGGGACATCCTGCCAATTTCTTCCAAGATGTCATGGAGCTTCTGTCTCTCTCTTGCCAAGATCTGTTGTACTTTTTCTTCCTCGGAGAAGGGTGCCAGGACCAACGGTCAAAAGAAAAGTTTGTGCCCCAAAACAGAAAAAGGGGAAAGGGGCGAGCATGTTACCCAACTGGTGCCTAGGAAGCCACCAATTCTGACTTTCTTTCTGGCTAATGTCCGCTCATTGGATAAGATAGTGGATTTGTTACATCTGAGGCTGAGAGTTTCTGCAGAGATGGACTGTGCCATTCTTTGCCTAACGTAAACCTGGCTTACAGCAACATACCGTTGAGCCTTCCAGATCAACAGTATTCAGTTATTCCAAGCGGACCGCGATCAACACTCAGAAAAAACAATGTATGTCAGAAGGAGGAGGACAATGTATGTAAGTGAATGCAGATTGGTGTGCGAACTGTGGACTGGTTAACAGCTGTCAGCCATCCTATCTGCCTCAGGAGTTTATTGCGGTGTTCGTCACCATTGTTTACATTCTACTGGGTGCTAACGGCAACAAAGCATCAAAGGAGCTATGACACCGTTAGCTCAATGCAGATGAAGCACCCGAAGGTGTTTTACGTGAGCTGGGGGACTTTAACCACATGAAACTGACGGACACTCTGTCCACTTTTTACCGGCATGTCATTCATCTTACACTCTGGGACTGTGTGCACACACCAGCATTCACGGTGCGTACAGAGCTCTTCCTCACCCTCATCTTGTCCTCTCTGACCACATCTCCATCCTGCTGGTGCCAGCATATCATCCGCTGATGAGACGGATTAGATCAACGAAGAAGACAGTCACTGTGTGGCCCAGAGATGCAGCCTTTGTGCTCCGGGTACTGTTTTCAGCCCCCAGATTGGCAGATCTTCTGAGAGGCAGCTACTTATGAGGGAGAGGTGGACCTGGAGGAATACACCTCCTCTGTTCTTGGCTTCATCTCCAATTGTGCTGATGATGTCACCACCACCAAGACAGAAACCTGCTACCCGAACCAGAAACCCTGGCTGAATGGTGAGGTGAGAACTCTGCTGAAAGCTAGGGACGCTGCGTTCAGGACAGGTGAGGCATCAGCACTCCGAGAAGCGACCCTAGCATGGATCGCTTCAATCAAGCGGAACAAATAAAAACTCTCACTGTGCTGCCTGTTGTACGCTGGACCAGGAAGGGTTTGAAAACCGCACTAGAAGCCACATCCATTCAGACGTCTTATTGGAGGTGTCTGCAATATACTTCTGAAAATGTATCAATTTTGTTATATTGTTTTGTGATACTAAAAATAAAATGGATTCAAGATGGTGGAACCCAACACCGAACAGTTCATGTAATTAAGCTTCTTATTATCGTTACACATTGTGTTTCAGACGAGATTCGTTCGTAAGTATTGGTTAATTGTGAAAATAATAACTGTCTCTTTATTTTGTGTATCTGTGGCGTAAATAATCTGTGTTTACATCATGTATGAAAATGCTTTTTTATTTTAGCTCGCAGAAAGAATGGCTAATTTGCAACGTTCGTTTGCTAATACTAAGCCTTGTATGTTACAGTTTACGATGATCAAAGTGATGGCAGTGGTCAGAGGCCACTCTTCAATAAACAAGTAAAAAGGAAAGAAGTTTGGTTATTGGAGCGTCGTCTGGCTGTCTACCTACTGAAAAATCAAAAACTCAGGGCGAGGACAGAACACTCACCCTCTGCATACATAATTGTAATGCAAGCATTAAAATGTACATAAGCATACCTTTCCATCAGTGTTGTGGTAAAGACCACCTAACCCGAGACCAAGACAAGAACCAAGACTTTTAGGGTCCGAGACCAAGTCAAGACCAAGACCGAGGGAAGTCAAGACCGAGTCAAGACCAAGACCAGCGGCCCACGCTACATGACACAATAAAATGTAAAATATGATCAAAATTGCATCTCAAATTGATCTGAAAGATCCATATTCCCATAAAAACACCTAGATATCAAATACTTAATAGATTTGACCAATATTAAATATTCCATCTCTGTGCTACAATCCGCGGCAGTCTCGTATCATCCCTAAAAAGATAACACCCTGGGCGTTTGCCCATATTGCTCATGTCAGAAACCTGTCTGCATCATTAAACATAGCAATTGAGGCAATGTCCTGACGGTAAATAACGCTCAACTATGAACACTGACAAAGGAACAACAAGCAAGAAGTAATCAAGTACAAGACGCTTATCGTGACTGTTGTCTCCCTCTCTCCCACTGCATGAAGCCAGGTAGTCTGACACCATGGCACACATTACAGGTGCCATTTTGAACAAAAATAATCAAAGAGCAATGTGCATTCTCTGCATGCTCTTTCGTTCTTGTGTTTTAGTTATTTGTTAATTTAAAAAATATCAACGTACATAATTAAATAAAATAATGATAGCTACTGCAGTGTACGCAGAGCATTACAAGAACAAAGAACGGGTGTTCTGTCAGGTCAGATCGTCTGTCGCGGCCTTCTCGTTTCCAAAAATCAATAATCCAACAAAGGCCGTGGGTGTTAACAGGTGGTTTTTGATTTGAACGCACTTCCGACTTAATTTGTTTGAAAAGCTATATTCTTTATTTCTTGTAAAAAAAATAGTGACAAAATAATTACCAAAAATGTCCTACAAATTAGTCAAAAAATGAAAGTAAACTTAATATGACGTTTCAAGTACAAAAAAATGAAAAGTGAAAAGTGAAAGTGGTCAAAAAATCATTTACAAAAAACCTCCCATCCACATGCCAAACAATGGCTCCACTCAGCACCCGGTGTGTTTTAATTACTCAAATTAATGGGAGGGTCTAACCAATTACCAACATACTCTGATCAATTCAAATATACAAATTAACTACAGATTTTGGATCTAAACTTAACTTAAATGAATTCTAAACTTCCCAAAATAGAAAACTAAATTAGTAGAAGTTACAAGTTACATAAAGTTTACATAAATGGCCACCACATCGTCAAACGCTTAGCACGAACTCACAACTATATATGTCAGACACGTCATTACCATAAGATTTAATTTAATCAGCAACACAGAATCATGATGTAGATCGTCATACACTTAGTTATTAACAGTTGTATGGCATCCTGACTTAGCGGTTAAGTAGGTTAATGAGTCTTACATGGGCGTGTGTTGTAGCTGACTCCAGGTACAGCCAGAACCTGATTTAAATACACTTTGAAATCACAACAACGCATTTATATCTATATAGTTATCATTGAAAACAATTTAATGACTTGTTTTCATCATAACTTGTTGCGTATGGTGAACTGACAACTCCTGACGGTCGGGCTTCTTAATGCGCATGCAGGCATGGTACTCACTGCGTGTATGCTATTCTGACAGCGTATGTAAGCTGATAGAACAATAGCTCTCAGCGACACTCCAGTCCTATCTAATAAGTAAAGAGCCGTGCAGAAGAATCGGACCGTTTCTGAATGTCACATCACTATATTGCATTTTATGCATCCTAAATTTTACATAGCGTATGAGTTTCACAGTTTGAGTTGAGTTGTTTACATAGAATGTAAACTGTACTGTTAGAACAGACAAATATCTGTATATATCAATAAATATATATATTTATTATAGAAAAATTAAATATGCATTTTTAAGGCTTTGGGAAATGACAAAAAGGAAACAGGCAGGGCCAATGTAAACCCTCCATGTATGGCTTCATCTGCAGAGGAAAGGTAAATGTTTATTTTGTTGTCATTTTCACTTGTCAGAAAAAAGAACACCAATTCTACATTGTTGTCAGTTTGTCAAAGTATGCTTCAGCAGAGAAGAAAAAAGTAATAAAAAAAAAGAAAACATTTATTTTGTGGAATCTTTCAAAAGAGATATGTATGAATGTCTCAAAAATTCTTACTAGTAAGAGTTGCATCCATTAGCTCTTTTTGTCCAATTTGCAAAACATATTAAGCATGTATTTTAATTAAGATTCCCCTGATCCAGAAAGGCATAGTAGATA